TGTACTTTTGATATTTTTCTTTTCTTTAGTTTTGAACTATATGATTCTTATTAAAAATTAATATTATTTTTTGCTAACTCATATATTTTATAAAGGCTAGTTTTTGCTAATTCTTTTTGATTATTAGTTACAAATTTTAATTTTTTTTATGTAGATCTAATAAAGTTGCAATTAAAGCTTTCTTTTTAATAACTTCATAATAATGTTCAAGTGCTTTATAAAGATCTATTTTAATTTTATCTAAAAGACTAAAGATATTAATAGAAGTATATATTTGAATTTTTTGTTTAACTTTAGGTTTATCATCTTCGTCAATTTCTTCAAATTAATGTTCTTCAAATGCATTATTATTTATTTTTAAATCTACATTACTATTATAAAATTCTTTGGTTAAACAAAAGAGTTTTTTGAGTTTAGTAATACCTAAATATATATAACTTATTATTGTATATTTTGTACCCTCTAATTTTTCTGTTAATTCTGTAAAAGATCCTAAGATTTTAAGTAAATCTCTTATAGTATCCCACTTATCACTAGTAAGATTAATTTTTTTAACCTTTTTGCATCTTCTTTGATATCACGATCTTTACTTGCATTTAATGAAAAAATAACAATTTTAATATAAGATTTTAGAATTATTAATCTTTCTATGTTATAAATATGCTTGACTAACATATTTTAATATTTGTAATTGCCTTGCAAAAAAAAATTAAATTAGAAAATTTAATTTAATTAATAAAAATTAAACTTCTTTTTTATCAATATAATTAAATATTTTCAAAATTTTGGTTTTATATTTTTATTTATCATAAAAGTTTAATTAAATTGATTATATAATTAATTATTTAATGCTAAATAAAAGACGAAATTCCCTGCAAACTGCAAACTCTAGTTATAAATATATAATTACAGTAAATTATTTTACTAATTAAGCTATATTTATATTATTTAATATTTATAATGAAATAATTTATTTTTTTATTTTTTTATTATCGTTATTATATAATATATATATGGTATAGATTTTTCATATATGTATAATATTAAAAACTATATAAGTATAGACTACTTATTATTGGAAATATACATGTATAGTCTTTTAAAGCATACACATAATATATACATTCAAGAACAAGTTTTGGTATTTTTTCTTTATATAATTTTTATGTAAAAAAAATAAGGAAAAAGAAATTTCTAGAGGAAATGCAAAATCTTTTTATATACTTATCAACTATTCTACTGTTTATGTATTCATTTTTTCTAATTCACAATAATAGTTGTGAAAATAATTCTCCAGAGGTAGTTTATATTGTTTATTTAATTGTAAAATATGGTAAAGCATTTACTAGTATGTAAACTTTTGGTTTGTACTTTTTTTATTCAATTATGATATTTCAACTTGCACAATCTTGCTTTTTCTAATTTATGGTATAAATTAAATTTATTTTCTATAATTTTTAAAAATAATTTTTTTTCTTTTTTTAATTCTTTTCTAGAATTAGCCAATAAGAATGAAGATACACATTAGAAACTTTAGATATTAGAAGTTGAAGTGCTTGAGATATAAGCTTCAGACTAAGTAATATTAGAAGTTTTATAAGTGAAATTATTTGTAGTTCAAAAATGTATTTTGAGAATAGTTTCAAGAAGCATATCAAAAATATATTCATGAAATAGAAAGGTCTGTATTTTTATATATTTATTCAGCAGCTATATAGTATACCAGAAAATAATCTCTCATAAGAGAATGTATATAAAACATTAAAATTAGATATTCATCTATTGTATACATTTTATTAAGAAATTATTTCACAAAACTATTTTTGTAGTATTAAAGTAAAGAAAAAAATTACAGTAATAAACAAGAAATGATGCAAGCTACCCTTAATTCTAATCAATAAAGTATTCATAAAAAGGTATGATTTGATGATAGGATTATAATTTTTGGTAAAGATGACATTATATTAAATCAAATAGATTAAAGAGTATAAGGCATAATATGAGTCAAAAAGAAAAAACTCAACAGATATATCAGAAACTTATCAAATATAAAGGTTAACAGGTTTTTAATATCTTAATTAAGCTCAAGAGTATGTAGTAAAGAAAGCACTCAACATATTATATGCTAAAAGTAATAAGAATGTACGAATAAAAATCAAAAGGAGATAATGTATTTATTATTCCTAAATACAATGTTTTATTATTTCTAAGATATCAATGATTTTATTATGTCTAAAAAATAATGTTTCTATCATACCTAAGGTACAATGTATTTATTATTCTTCTCATTAATTCTAATATATTTATATTATCGATAATATTAAAAAATTGTTAGATTATTAAAATTTATATTAAAGTAAAATATTCCTTTTAATTTCTCTTGCAAATAGCAAAAGTTTTTTTAACATATTAAGAAATATTAAGAAAGATTTAAAGCTAATATATGCACCTTTTTTTCAATCATATTTAACTTTATTTTTTTAAATAATAGGATATAAAGACTTTTAATGTCAGATGATGAGTTATAGTCTTAATATTTGTCATGTCATTATGATGTATAACTATAATTAATTCTTTTCTAAAAAAAAGAGCAGTAAATATAATTTATTTGATAATAGGATTAACATGATAGTTTTTAAAAAATGTATAATTTAACATAAAAGCTTTTTATAAACATATATTTTTTATAGTATTTATTATCACAACTACAAAAGTTGTGATTCACTTCAATAACCCTAAGATTATTAACTAAAATATAGACCATATTTGATATGAGATACATTCACATAGTTATTATTATTTACTCTACTTAAAATAGTATCTTTTAAACTCCTAAAAATATAAATCTTTTATCAGTTTATGACCATTTAAATGTATTATTTGATTAGTTGCCCAGGTTATTCGATCTGACTTGAGAATTAATTAGAGTTAGAGATATCATTTTATGAAACACGTCAGGTCAGGGTTATTATTATACAAGACTCAAATGATCAATTTTTTTTATTTTATGTGACTTTAATAAATTAAGCTTTTTTTAAGTGATATTAAAAATAGAATAAATTATGGCATATAGTATTTGGTTAAAGCTTGATTATTATGAAGATAAAATATGGTGACAAAGCTTATTCATTATACTAAAGAAATATTTATAATATTAACTATATACCAGCTATTATTGATATACAGTAGTAATAAAAAATATTAATGATGATATAATTTTAAAAAAATTTATTTAATTATTAATTCGATTAAATTATAGTTACATAAAACTGAAAATTAAAATTTAGCCATAATGTCTAGAGAATTATAGTTATAAAATAAAAATATCAATTATTAAACTATTTTTATTTATCAAAGCAATAAGTTTCAGTAATATAAATTTTTCTTGCAAAATCAAAAGATATAATCTTAAAGCTAATACAGTTTATGTTTGTATGTATTTGAGAATTTATGAAAAAAAATGTTAAAAAATGTAAATAATAGTTATTAGTTTAGGGGTAAAATATTAGTTACCCTAAGGAGTGACACAATATATCCTAACTAATAACTAGTTTATTGTGTCAGTCACACTTTAAATTAATATTATTATAATAATTATATTTGAAAAATATAAAAAATCTATTATATTTAATATTTAGCCGTTAATAAAAAATATCAGATTATCAAAATCAGTATGATCTTAATAAACTGATCAATAAATTATCTTATCAGACATGTCTTATGTAAACACTGAATATTTACATATGTTATTCAATCACTTTCTAATGTGATACACAAATTTTCATTTACTTTACAATAAAATCATAGTTTTAAAAATTAATTATAGAAAATTTTTAAATTAATATTTAAATTATAACTTTGTGAGAAAATAATCAGAGAAAGTTTAATAATAATATTGTTATTAACAAAAGATAATAGTTTTTGATATTTTCCATAATAGGTTAACATTAGAGAATCTGAATGATAAGGTGGTTTAAAAAGTATCATTTTGGATAGATTATGAAATTTTTTAACTTTGAGTTTTTTGAATTGTAGAAACTGAATTTCTTGAGTTATAAAAAAGTCAATTACTATTGACTTGACATTAGATTCATTTATTTCTTGAACTTTTAGAACTTGAATTTCTTGAACTGAAGTTTCTTAAGTAACTTGAGTTTTTTAAATTGTTATAAATATTTTAAAATTTAAATTATATAAAGTAAAAATATTTTAAAATCTTATATTTTTCATTATTATATTTTTATTAGAAGATAAATTACATTTATTTAATAAAAAAGGAATCAATATCATGATATTTAATATTTGTTGATCATTACTAGTTTTGCAATAATCTACTAAACTTTCATGAAACCAATGATCAGAAAATGATTGTAAATCTGAATCAAAAAGTCTATTATTTTTCAACATTTGAATTGCAGTATGACAATAAGAATATTTTGTAATTTTATGTCTATTATCAAGATTAATTTCAATATTTACTGCAATATCATTCATCATTTTTCTAAGTTTTGTATAACTTATTGAAGTATTTTTAAACCAATTACCCTTTCATAAATTTTATATAAAAATGATTAATAATTAAATTATAAGAATAATAAATATAATAAATATATTTATACTATATATTATAACATATCTTTTTTACTTTTACATATTTTATAAAATAAAGGATCTTGTAGTGAAGTTGAATGTAGTAATTTAGATAAAAATAAAAGAATATCTTTTATAGGTATATATTAATTATCAGATGAATCAGAAGGTATAGGAATATATTATAAACCTGATTTTTCATGTTTGTTTCTAAAAAAAGTACCACCCTGATTATTTTTTTCTTTATATAATATAAGTTCAAAGCCTCCATCCTAATGACATTCAAGATCTTTTTTACAAAGTCTATATATATCTCCACCATATAATTCACATAATAAATATAACCAGAAAAAAATACAATATATAAGTAATTCATTTAAATTAATATTTATATATGAATGACCAAGTATTTATTTAATTTCTTTAGCAGACAATCTATCAGACTTTTCAGGATCATCTAAAACTTTGCTTTGTAAGATTTTCATTTTTCCATTTAACATATGAAAAGCATGAGGAAATTTGTAATGATCCCAGATTTTTATTGGTTGGAGAATGCTATATTTTTTAAGATATATATTCAATGCACTATAACAATTATGAACAGATTCAACCTTATAATCAGAACTATCTTTTTTTTTACAATAATATAATAAATTGACAGAGATAATTTCTAGATTTTCTAAAGAATCTATTTATTCAATAAAATTAGTTATTCTATAACTTTTGTTAAAATGATCAACAACTCTTAACCATTTAGAAGTATTTCATGAAGTAAGTGAAGCTTTTTGCAAATTGCTTATTTCTTCTTATATTAAAAGTATGTAAAGTCATATGTATAATAAAAAAAATAAAAAAGAAAAAAATGTAAAAAGAAAAATAATTAGACATGAGAAAATAAAGCAAGTTGATAAAATCTAAAAATAGTTAGAAAGTGATTGAATAATATAATTCAAAAATGTTTGGTACTTACATCATATATATTCAATAAAGTTATTATCAGTTATCATCTACAACTAAAGCTTTGAACAGTTCAGATTAATCTGAAGATTTTTCAGATCGATTTGGTTTAGATCAGTTTT